GAGAGGTCATCTCTGCTCCCTGAGGCCAGGTGAAATGGGAGATCATGGCTCAGGAAGACGGGGAAGGGGAGCCACCATTTGGGGGTGGGTTTTGAATGAGCACGCCTCTGAAGAAAAGCACTATCTACTCTCATGCCGTTGGCCTCCAGACAGAGGTAGAATCAGATGCAAGCAATTTCTCTCCCTTTGTTTTATTTTCCCCCTCAAGTGAAAGACAGCTACCAAAATGTGTTTTATTACCTCCCATAGATTCTATTTTTCTCACCTCTTGTGGAATGCTAGTGGGGGGGGGGGCAACAACAGAGAAATGTCTCTCTGTAGCTGAGACATGGCCACCTCTGTAGCTTCATGCCCATGCCCGTGGCAGAATGGATTCAGTGAACCACCCCTATCAGTTCTGGGAAATCCTCTTGTCACCCCCCAGTCTCTCTGGATCAGATTTGAGGTCAGACTTGGTTGTATCGATGATTCATTCTGGGGCACGGCGTCTGTTCCACTCTCTGGGGCTTCCTTACCAAGCTGCGGTGAACATTGCTTTCCCTATTGATCTTCAAGTGAACGAGTCCGCTTTCCTGGGTTCAGATGACTGCAAGGTGGGCTTTGTTTTCCTGGCACCCACCCCCCACCTCCCTCATCATTCCCGGACTGCAAGAGGGAGTTCCTCAGGGGGGTTGGACAGGCCGCATAGATGGGCTTGCTGGTCAAGTGGTGTGTGTGCACCCTGGATTTGTGGAGGACTTGATGCCGGTCACAGGCATCCGTGGGTGAGTTATAACGGAGGGAGCCCTGGTGGCTCAGAAACCCCAGGGAGCAGCTCTGCTCTGTTGTGTGGGGTCCTTAGGGGTCGGGATCAACTCCTTGGCCAGGGGTTAAACTGAGGCGTCCCAGGGGGACCCACACAGCTAAGCCAGTGCACGACTACTGGTTGAAAGGCTGGAGGTTCGAACCCATTCCGAGGCCCCTCAGAAGGCAGTCAGCCTCAGAAAGACCCTTGACACCCTAGGAAGCTGCTCCTCTCTGCCTCCTGGGGTCACCATGAGTCACCATCTGCTGGGCAGTATCCCAACAAAGAAGCTGTCCTGGGGCCTTCGGGGAATGGGAGAGGCACCCCAATCCCGTTAGCCCCGTGATGGGGTCTCCCTTCTACTAGGAAAATACTACAAATCAGGTGAAATAAGATAATGTGAGGAAAGGGAAGTGCCAGGAGCTGCCTGGCATTCCGCCCACTGTGCCGGCTGTCAGGGAGCCCTGGTGGCATAGGGCTACACGGTGGGCTGCTCACCGCAAGGCCACCAGTTCAAAGCCACCAGCCCCTCATTGGGAGCAAGATGTGCGGTCCAGGAAACCCACAGGGGCACTTCTACTCTCTGCTCACAGGGAGGGATGCAGTGAGTCGGCCTCGACTTGAGGGCACTGAGTTTAGTTTTAAGGGGGGGTTGGGGACGTTGTCCCTGCCCGGGGTCATTTGGAGAGTTAGAACATTACTTGTGGGCCTTACCGGTCAGTGGTTTATCACGTCACCCCGAATGGCTGGCTGGGACTGCTTCTTTTGGGTGGGGCGTGGGGTGTTAGCTGGTGTCAGTGATTCCAGGGGGCCTTATGTGGACTGCCCGAGGGCTGGACATTCCCCGCCCCTGTTTTAGGGTTTGGGGAG